TTGCCGGTAAGCAAAGGCTAGCAATTCTGGCAGTTACTGATAAGAAAAGGTAAGCAGCTTTACATAGTGGCTAGTTTGCAAAGCAAACTAGCAGTTTTATTTACAGTAGCCAAGGCAAGCAGTTATTGTGAGGAGAATGGGGCAGCCATTTCAACTTATCTAAAAACAGTTTTGCATTTTATAAAATAGTTTTGCTCCGGTTCTGGCTCTAGGCCAGCACAGTATCACATCAGGAGATTAAGACCATTGTGGCTAACATGGTGCAATCCCGTCTCTACTAAAAATACAAAAATTAGCTGTGCGTTGTGGTTGGGCACCTGTAGTCCCAGCTACTCGGGAGGCTAAGGCAGGAGGATCGCTTGGATCCGAGAGGCGGAGTTGCAGTGAACCGAGATTGTGTCACTGTACTCCAGCCTGGGCAACAGAGTGAGACTTCATCTCAAAAAAAGAAAAGAAGAAAGGCTGAAAGTCAATTATGTAAGTATCAGTCTCGAACACTACAAAATAATTAGCAGATAAAGTGAGAGAATGACCATGTGGCTACCTGGGGAATGTGAGACACAGGAGAAAGACTTGGCTCCGTGGGGGAGGAGCATGCCTTAAACAGGCTGGCTGTAGGTTTGCCTGGGTTTGTAGGTTAGCTTCTCTGCTAACCTTTCACTAGTTGAGGGTCTTTGGGCAAGTCTTTTCCTCTTGTGTTATCTGTTTTTACATCCATAAAATGGGTAGAAAGTCCCCACCTCCCGAGTTTGTTGTAAGTTTTAAATGAGTCTACATGCAAGCAGTAGTGTAACTGAGAACACTGCTCAGCACCAAGTGGGTGCTGTCCTAATTATGATGATTGTCTATGTCTCTGTGAGAGTGTTTCACATCTCACAGGCCCGAAGCCTGTGTTTCCCATGCTCTGTAGGCATGAGGCAGGGCCCCAGGTTCCATGTGATGATGAAGGTCTGACATTCCTGCAGGCTCAGGTCCAAGGCTCCAGCATCCTCTGTATCCCTGAGCACCGCTGCCCGATGGCCCTCCCCAAGCACTCCCTGAGCCCAGTACCATGGGAAGAGGACAGCTTCCTTCAAGTGAAGGTAGAGGAGGAAGAGGAAGCCAGCCTTCTCCAGGGCCAAGAATCCAGCCATGACCATATCGCTCACCCTGAGGCTGCACGCCTGCGCTTCCGGCACTTCCGCTATGAGGAGGCATCCAGTCCACATGAGGCCCTGGCCCAGCTCCGAGAGCTGTGCTGTCAGTGGCTGCGGCCTGAGGTGCGCTCCAAGGAGCAGATACTGGAGCTGCTGGTGCTGGAGCAGTTCCTGGGTGCGCTGCCCCCCGAGATCCAAGCCTGGGTAGGAGCCCAGAGCCCCAAGAACGGAGAAGAAGCTGCTGTGCTGGTGAAGGATCTGACTCAGGTGCTGGACAAGAGAGGTAAAGGGGGGCTATGGGCAGATTCACAGCACACTGGAGGTACATCCTGGACTGGAACACGGGAGCACAGGGCTCTGGTTTGGGGTTCCTCATGTCCTCATTCTCACATTTGTACTTTACATGAACTCTCACACACTGTAGTAGACGGGTGTGTTTTGGTTCCAGGTGACCAAAAACGCAGCTCAAATTAGCTGAAGCAAAGAGTAAGGAGGCATGATATATGGCTATATCCAGAAGATCTGTTGACAGCATCAGAACTCTCTTCTTTCTCTTTTGTTCTGTCTGTCAGATGGGTTTTTCTGTATTAGCTTCAAACTTTGAGACAGAGTCTTGCTCTGTTGCCCAGGCTGGAGTGCAGTGGAACGATCTCAACTTATTGCAATCTCTGCCTCCCGGGTTCAAGCGATTCTTCTGCTTCAGCCTCCTAAGTAGCTGGGATTACAGGCATGCGCCACCACACCCAGTTAATTTTTGTATTTTTAGTAGAGGTGGGTTTCACCATGTTAGCCAGCCTGGTCTTGAACTCCTGACCTTGTGATCCTCCTGTGTTGGCCTCCCAAAGTGCTGGCATTACAGGTGTGAGCCACCGCCCCCAGCCTTGCTGTCTTTCAGATCAGTTCCACATTAGGGTTTCTCATCTGATTCTTGAGCCAAAATTGGGAGCCTTGAAAGGTAGAGAGTTTGGTGGGAGGAGGAAAAATCAGAACCCATGATGCAGTTTTGGATGGTGTGGGAGGACAGCCCTGCACCCTTTTGTCATCAGGACACCAAATAAGAAACTTCCCCTTGGAAATGGGGCCAAATGTTAGGAACAGGCCACTTGCCTTACAAAGTGTGGCCAGGGCCCTCAGCAGGGTTGGGGAGGCTTTGTGTGGCAGGAGTAGTAATGCTGTGGTTGGGATTGTTTCAGGATGGGATCCTGAAGCCGAGCTCACAGAGGCAAGCTGCAAGCAGAGTGACCTGGGAGAGTCGGAGCCATCAAATGTGATCACTGAGACCCTCATGGGAGGTATTCCCCTCAGACCCACCTTTGTCAAGGCTTGTGAACCCGAGGGCAGCTCAGAGAGGTCTGGACTATCAGCAAAGATCTGGACAAAGTCTATCACCCAACACATCAATCTCAAGAAAACTTCAGGGCCTTACAAGGATGCCCCCACAGAACAGCCTGGCTGTGAACCTGGTGCCTTGAGGAACAGTTCTAGTGTGTGGCCAAACGTTACCTCCCAAGAGAAGGCGCCTTCAGAAGAGAAATTTGATCTGGTGGATGCTTATGGGACAGAGCCTCCACATACATACTCAGGGAAGAAGTCCTCCAAGTGTCACGAGTGTAGGAAAATGTTCCAGAGTGCTTCAGCACTCAAAGCACACCAGAAGACCCATTCTCGGAAGACACCATATGCCTGCATCGAGTGTGGGAAAGCCTTCAGCCGGAGCACTCACCTCGCCCAGCACCAGGTTGTCCACACAGGGGCGAAGCCACATGAGTGTAAGGACTGTGGGAAGGCCTTCAGCCGAGTCACCCACCTGACTCAGCACCAAAGGATTCATACTGGAGAGAAACCCTACAAGTGTGGGGAATGTGGTAAAACCTTCAGCCGCAGCACCCACTTGACCCAGCACCAGCGGGTGCACACCGGGGAGCGGCCCTACGAGTGTGACGAGTGCGGGAAGGCCTTCAGCCAGAGCACGCACCTGACCCAGCACCAGCGCATCCACACCGGGGAGAAGCCCTACAAGTGTGACGCGTGTGGGAGAGCCTTCAGCGACTGCTCAGCCCTGATCCGACATCTGAGAATCCATTCTGGAGAGAAGCCGTATCAGTGTAAGGTTTGTCCAAAGGCCTTTGCACAGAGCTCCTCTCTCATTGAGCACCAGAGGATCCACACAGGAGAGAAGCCTTACAAGTGCAGTGACTGTGGAAAAGCCTTTAGCCGCAGCTCAGCCCTTATGGTTCACCTGCGGATCCACATCACGGTACTGCAGTGACTGGAAGTAGCCCCTGGGGCCGTAGCACAGCCTCTTCTTGAGGCTCAACATCTAAGAGAAATGCTGAGTTCCTAAAGAGCAACAAACAGGGTGGGCGATTGATGAGCTGTGGAAATGAGAGGTGCCTGAGGGCAGACTCTGGCGTCTAGGAACGACTCTGCATTTGAGGATCCCCATGAGCACAAAGCGATTCAGGCCAGCTGGAGAAGCTTCCAGCAGGGCCCTGCCCTGCTGCCCTCCATTTCCCACTCAAGGCTGTCCCAGAGAGATGGCAGCTGAGCCAAGGATTGAGACTGGTTCTGAGGGCCAGGGCAAGTGGAGACTCACATCTCTCAGAACTCCATCCCAAGATGCTCTGGCCAGGCCAACTGTAGCTTGTTCTCATGCGACTCTTCTTGCCTGCTTTTCTGCTGCGTAGCCCAGAAGGGACACCTGCCATGCCCACCTCTGTGCCTTGGCACCTACTGTTTCCACTCCAGCCTATTTTGTGCCTGACTCCAAGGCTGACTTGTGAGGCCACCTCTTCTGTGATGCCTTCTCCACACCCTCTGCCTCTCTCATGGTTTCCTGTTTTCATCAGTAGTGCTGCTTCACAGCTGCCCAGCATGTGTGTCTCTCTCCTTGTCCTTCCATATCCCACCAGTCACCAGCCCTGTTGGTTTAACCTAAAGCTCATCTCTAATTCGTCTCCTTTTCCACTACTATTACCTTATGTGAGCCCTCATTGCCTCTTGCCTGGATTATAGCAGGAGTCTCCTTCCTGACCCCTTCCTGCCTTTGTTCTCTGCCCCTCTGTCACTCTCCAGGAGACTGCTATTACCCAGATCTGATTGTGTCGCTCCATGGTGGAAAGCGCTCTAATCCATCACCTTCTACAGGAGAGCTTCCTGAACAGGGTTTAAGTATGCTGAGATAGGCCATTTTGGGCCCTGAGCAACCTTTCCAGTTATCCTCATATTCGTTTATGAATATTGTCACTTTTCTGTGTGCACAGTGATGTAAAATGGCCTCATCTCATACCATGGCTCCACCTTCCATATACCAGCCCCATGGAACTACTGTGGTTCCCAAAGGAACCATACATTTTCCCCACCTATGTGCCTTTGTACTTGTGCCTGGAATCTTCCTCTCCTTTTTTATCTAAGATGTTTCAAATGTCTCCCAAAGAATCCTCCCTGATCTCCTGGAGCAGACTGCAGCTTGCCCTCTCTGCTTCCAGAGCACCTCCTAGTTACCCTTCTTTTTTTTTTTTTTCTTTTTTTTTTTTTGAGACGGAGTTTCGCTCGTTACCCAGGCTGGAGTGCAATGGCGCGATCTCGGCTCACCGCAACCTCCGCCTCCTGGGTTCAGGCAATTCTCCTGCCTCAGCCTCCTGAGTAGCTGGGATTACAGGCACGCACCACCATGCCCAGCTAATTTTTTTTTGTATTTTTAGTAGAGACGGGGTTTCACCGTGTTGACCAGGATGGTCTTGATCTCTTGACCTCGTGATCCACCCGCCTTGGCCTCCCAAAGTGCTGGGATTACAGGCGTGAGCCACCGCGCCCGGCCTCCTAGTTACCTTTCTTACACCTCCTACCACGTTGTTTCACGTATTTGCTCCTTGTAGAGCTTATGGTATGTTTTTTCCAAGGATACTATGAGCTCCTGAGAGCAGGGACCATGTCTTACTCTCAGAATCTACAACACACAAGACTTGACAGGCCTTGACTGATATCTCTTGCATGAACGTGACTGGTGCCTTCCAGGAGGTACTCACCATGCTGTGCCCCACATTGTCCTTACATATGTTTTTATGGATGTCTCCCCAGCAGCTTGAACCCTGCAGAGTAAGAACAATCTGATTTTCCTGGGCGCCAGCACCCAGATAAGCCTGGCATGCGGTGGTCTCAATAAAATGTTACTGTACTCAGTCTTCTCTTTCTAGGGCCCCAGATCCCCCTGGTGTCATGGAGTTAGTATTTGCCAGCACTCTGTCCATGTGCTGTCTGGCCTTCTCTCACAGTTCTGCATCCTTGTCCCATTTTTAGGGTCCATGTCTATAACTGGATGTAGCAGCTTCTATTCATTCCTGTTAGAAGGGTGTCATTCTTCATGCCCCTGTTTCTGTGATGGTGTCATGTGAACCATTTGACCTGCCGTATTGTGTAGTAGTAACTGTCACCATCTCTCCCTGTGTTTGGGGCTCATTCCCTCTATGTCAAGAGTAAATAGAGTCACAAAGACTGGTGGGAGAGGTTCGTAACATGAAGGCAAGACTCAGGGAGACAGAGACCTTGTGGAAGTATCTCTGAGGGAGTCCCAGACACAGGCAGAGACTGCCACATATCGTGTGGCAGAGATTGAGAGACAGAGCGGGGTGACAGGCTTAGGGGAAAACTCAGGAGAGATGCACATTCCCAGTGAAATGACTGCACAGGCTTCAGTGAACAGAATAGGCATGGGCCTGAAGTCAGGCTGCAAAGCCTCACTCCTTCCTGTGGCTACTTTAGGGACCTAAGATTAAGTGACTTTCCTGAACCTCCATGACCTCATCTGTAAACCTGGGACGAGACCCACCTTGTGTAGTGCCAGACCTAGAGCCTGGCCCTGGACACTGGCTGTGACTTGCAGCAATCATCAGCACCTCTCTGCCTGCCACTTGCTCAGTCTCTGTCACAAGAACTGAAGCTCCATCCCCTTGATGCTCTGAGCATCTTCACTTGGTTGTGAGACGTGTCTGTCCATATCTGTTTAAAAGGGGAGGAGAACAGGGAGAAAAAAGGGAATCAACTGAGAGTCTATGTTTGCTGGTCAGTCTACCAAATAATTTATATACATCTCACTTAATCCTCACACAACCATCCCCATTTTATAGAGGAGGAAGTGACATGGCAAATATAACTGACTGGCCAAAGTCACACTGCCAGGAACTGCAAGCACCGGGATGTGACAGCACATCCAAGTATGTCAGTAATTTCAATAAACATTACTCAGCAAACCAAGTGTAAAGACCAGTTCCAACAGACTGAATTCATTTTTGGTCCAGCCATATGTTCTTTAGAAATGATATGGCACAGAGGCTTATGCCTGTAATCCCAGCACCTTTGGTAGATCACAAAGTCAGGAATTGGAGACCAGCCTGATCAACATGGTGAAAACCTGTCTCTACTAAAAATACAAAAATTAACCGGGCCTGTAATTCCAGCTACTTGGTAGGCTGAGGCAGGAGAATTGCTTGAACCTGGGAGGCAGAGGCTGCACTGAGCCGAGATTGCGCCATTGCACTCCAGCCTGGGCAACAAGTGAAACTCTTATTTATAACAAATTTTTTACAAGTTCAAAAACAATGAACTCCAAAAAAGCATAATCCATGCCCAGACACATCATGTTCTGCTAAAAACTAAAATTCTAAAATTTTGAGCGAACAGTCTGAGAAAAATTATGCATTACATTAGGGGGATAATACAAAAGATCACAGCAGCTTCTCAGAAATTGTCGAGGCTAGAAGGCAAAGAAACAACATTTTATACAAAAAATTAGCCAGGCGTGGTGGCACATGCCTGCAATCCCAGCTACTTGGGAGGCTAAGGTAGGAGAATTGCTTGAACCCAGGAGGTGGAGGTTGCAGGGAGCTGAGATTGCGCCATTGCACTCCAGCCCGGGCAACAAGAGCAAAACTCCATCTTGAAAAAGAACATTTTGAAGTGAAAAACACTCAACCCATAATTCTATATCCATTGCAAACACTTCAAGAACAAAGGCAAAATACAAACATTCTCAAGTGAAGCAAACCTAAGATATATATACCTCTTGCCAGCAAGCCTGCTTGAAAAGAAATGCTAAAAGAAACTCTTGGTAGAAGGGAAATGATACTAGAGAGAAAGCTGGAACTTTGGGAATTAATGATAGTAATAGAGATTGCACACATATTTTATCTTTAAAATATGGCTGGAGGCCAGGTGCGGTGGCCCACACCTATAGTCCTAGCACTTTGGGAGACGTGAGGTGGATGAATCACTTGAGTTCAGGAGTTGGAGACTAACCTGGCGAAATCCTGTCTCTACTAAAAATACAAAAAATGGCCAGGTATGGTGGCTTATGCCTGTAATCCCAGCACTTTGGGAGGCCGAGGTGGGTGGATCACCTGAGGTGACGAGTTTAAGACCAATTTAACCAACGTAATGAAACCCCGTCTCTACTAATAGTACAAAATTAGCCCCACGTGGTGGCACACGCCTGTAATCCTGGCTATTCAGGAGGGTGAAGCAGGAGAATTGCTTGAACCTGGGAGACAGAGGTTGCAGTGAGCCGAGATCACACCACTGCACTCCGACCAGGGCAACAAGAGTGAAGCTCCATATCAAAAAAAGGAAAGAAGTATATATCTTTGTATAGTTCTTTTTTTAGTGAAGTCTCTAGTGATTACAATATGCATACTTAATTTTTTTTTTCTTTTTTGTCACCCAGGCTGGAGTGCAATAGTGTGATCTCGGCTCACTGCAATGTCTGTCTCCCAGGTTCAAGCAATTCTCCTGCCTCAGCCTCTTGAGTAGCCAGGATTACAGGCGTGTACCACCACTTGCAGCTAATTTTGTATTTTTAGTAGAGACAGGGTTTCATCATGTTGGTCAGGCTGGTCTCAAACTCCGGACCTCAAGTGATCCACCCACCTCAGTCTCTGAAAGTGCTGGGATTACAGGCATTAGCCACCGCATTCAACCAAGAGATACAATTTCCTTTTTTAAAACCTAATAAATTAAAATGGGACTCTAAAAATATTTCAACTCAGAAGAAGCCAGGAAAGTGAAGCAGAGGGACGCCAAGAGAATAAACAGAAAACAAGGAAAACGTAGACTAGGCCAGGCACAGTGGCTCATGCCTATAATCCCCTCCTTTGGGAGGCTGAGACAGGAGGATTATTTGAGCTAGCAGTTCAAGACCAGCCTAGGCAACAAGTGAGACCCCCCCCCTTTTTTTTTTTTGAGATGGAGTTTTGCTCTTGTTGCCCACGCTGGAGTGCAGTGGTGAGATCTCAGTTCATCGCAACCTCTCCCTCCCAGGTTCAAGCGATTGTCCTGCCTCAGCGTTACAAGTAGCTGGGATTACAGGTACACACCACCACGCCTGCCTAATTTTTTTGTATTTTTAGTAGAGACGGGGTTTCACCATGTTAGTCAGGCTGGTCTCGAACTCCTGACCTTGTGATCCGCCTGCCTCGGCCTCCCAAAGTGCTAGGATTACAGGCATGAGCCACTGTGCCCGGCCCAAGACCTCATTTCTTAGAAAGAAAGAAAACTAAACAAAAAGGTAGACACAAATCCAAACATATCAACAATTATGTGTAAATGATCTAAACAAAATAATTAAAAGATTTTACCAGAATGAATTAAAAAAAAAAAAACCCAGCCAGGCACCGTGGCTCAAGCCTATAATCCCAGCACTTTGGGAGGCTGAGGTCAGAGGATCACAAGGTCAGGAGTTCAAGACAAGCCTGACAAACATGGTGAAACCCTGCCTCTACTAAAAATACAAAATTAAGCTGGGCATGGTGGCACATGCCTGTAATCTCACCTATTCAGGAGGCTGAGGCAGGAGAATCACTTGAACCTGGGAGGCAGAGGTTGCAGTGAGCCGAGATCTCACCACTCCACTCCAGCCTGGGTGACAGAGTGAGACTCTGTCTCAAAATAAATAAATAAGAAACCTTTCCGGGCGCAGTGGCTCACACCTGTAATCCCAGCACTTTGGGAGGCCAAGGCAGGCAGATCATGAGGTTAGGAGATTGAGACCATCCTGGCCATGGTGAAACCCTGTCTCTTAAAATACAAAAATTTAGCCGGGTGTGGTGGTGCGCTCCTGTAGTCCCAGCTACTCAGGAGGCTGAGGCAGGGGAATCGCTTGAACCCAGGAGGTGGAGGTTGCAGTGAGCTGAGACTGGGCCACTGCACTCCAGCCTGGGCAACAGAGCAAGATTCTTTTTTTTTTTTTTTTTTTTTTTAAAAAAAAAAAAAGGTTAAGGTGGGAAGATTGCTTGAGCCCAGGAATTCAAGGCTGCAGTGAACTGCTATTGCACCACTGCTCCCCAGCCTGGGTGACAGAAAAAGGCCCCACCTGTATAAATAGGCTTGGCTCACTCCTGTCATCCCGGCACTTTGGAAAGCCAAGGCGAGCACATCACCTGAGGTCAGGAGTTTGAGACCAGCCTTGCCAACATGATGAAACCCTGTCTCTACGGAAACTACAAAAAATATTAGCCGTGTGTGGTGGCAGGCACCTATACTCCCAGCTACTTGGGAGGCTGAGGCAGGAGAATCGCTTGAACCTGAGAGGGAGAGGTTGCAGTGAGCTGAGACCGTGCCATTCATTGCACTCCAGTCTGGGCAACAAAAGTGAAACTCTGTCTCAAAAAAAATAAAAACCAACCAAACAAAACTGAACAGTAAGAAAACAACCCAATTTTTTAAAGTGCACAAAATATTTGAACAGACATTTCATCAAAGACACTTAGAGATGGCAACTAAGCACATGGGAAAAAAATGCTTAACAGCATCAGCCATTAAGGAAATGCAAGGAAAACCACTATTAGATATCACTATACACCTATTAGAATGGCTAAAGTAAACTTTTTGAAAAACTAAGCTGGGGCCGGGCACGGTGGCTCACACCTGTAATCCCAACACTTTGGGAGGCTGAGGCAGGTGGATCACATGAGGTCAGGAGTTGGAGACCAGCCTGGTCAACATGGTGAAACCACATCTCTACTAAAAATATTAAAATTAGCTGGATATGGGGGCACCTTGTAATTCAAGCTACTTGAGATGCTGAGGCAGGAGAATCGCTTGAACTGGGGAGGTGGAGGTTGCAGTGAGCCAAGATTGCACCAGGGCACTCTAGCCTGGGTGACAAGTGCAAACCTCTGTCTCAAAAACAAATAAGGTTTTAAAAATTGATAAGCCTCTAGCAAGACAGACACAGAGAGGACATATCAGGCATGAAAGAAGCGACATCATTACAGCCTGTGCAGACATTAAAGTACAGAGGAAGATTAGGAAGTAGGTAACACTATGGCCGTAAACCAGACCACTAGGCAAATTTGTTGAAAAACATAATTTATCAACTATTAGTTAATAATAATGATACGAATCTTCTGTGTGCCAGGACCTTGAGGCCCAGCTCCAGGGAGAAACTTGACAGTGGTCGGGATGGCGTCAGATGTCAGATGGCGCAAAGGGGACTCAGAGCCCAGGGATAATAGGGAAGAACAGAGAGGAATCCAGCCATTTCCACAGCTTCCAGCTCTGCTGTGGGAGGCTGGGAACTGCCCAGCACCACCACCCTGTGACTGGGAGGAAGAGACCACAAATTGCAGCTTCCCTGAACCTCCTATTGGTCATGGGGTTGATGTCGTCAAGGTAGAGGTGGGTGTGTCTGGAGCCTCAAGCAACCTGCCGATACCTGCTGGGACCAGGCAGAGGTGCCCAGGGAGTAAGAGGCAGTGTGGTGGAAGAGCACGGATGAAAGAGGCCTTGAGAAGTGCTGGTTAGCCGGGTGCTGTGGCTCACACCTGTAATCCTAACACTTTGGGAGGCTGAGGCGGGAGGATCACTTGAACCCAGGAGTGTAAGACCAGCCTGTACAACATAGTGAGACCTATCTCTACAAAAAATAAATAACAGAAAAATGTGGGCTGGCCAGGCATGGTGGCTCATGCCTGTAGTCCCAGCTACTTGGAAGTCAGGTGGGAGGATCACTTTAGGCCAGGAGTTCAAGACAAGCTTGGGCAACACAGTGAGACCCTGTATCTACAAAAAAATAATAATTAGCCAAGCGTGGTGATGCATGCCCCTGGGCCCAGCTACTTGGGAGGCTGAGGCAGGAGGATCACTTGAGCCCGGGAGGTGGAGATTACAGTGAGCCCGACTGCACCACTGCACTCCAGCCTGGGTGACAGAGCGAGACCCTGTCTCAAAAAAGAAAAAAGAAAAGAAAGATGTTGGCTTAAGAGCCAATTCTCCTCTCTTCTACCTCAGGAGCCGCCCCAGAACGCATCACTTTCAGGACGACACAGGATCCCAGCCCACTCAACCCTGGGAGTCCAAAGACATTTTAAACAATGTCTCTCTTCACATTTATTAATTCCTGGGAGGAATGAGGGAGCGCCCTCCAGCCCCCCAGGGAGCCCAG